GCCCCCACCGGGACGCGAACCGACAACCTTCTTGCTGCGAGGCAACAGTGCTAACCAACTTGCAGCCCTCTAAATTTGAGTTGAACTTACACACAATACTAAGTTGGTACAATTACCAACGTCATTGTGTCCATACAACGCCATCAAAGTCCTGCTTTTACCTTTAAAAGTTAGTCTAAATTAGTAAGTTGGATTTATTTTTTTGTTTCTGCGTTGCAACCCTACATGTAATGAAGTGGTTGGAACAGGTCTCTTGAATCACTTTTTAGAGTGTAGAAGGGAGCTGTTGTGAACCAAAGTGTTTTCATGAAGTATTCTTGGCCGGTAAGGGTGCTAGTGGAAAAGAAGTGGGGGAAGCTTTTGGAAGAAGACAGTTAGTGGCTGGACGGATCTCCTTCACTTCAGCCTTTATTCCATAATTAGAATCTTGTTCTGGTGTGAGCTCAGGCAAGCTAATCTTTCCACTTTAATGTGAGGGCTGAGCACGACTCCTGTCTGGGTAACACTTTATGCGAGTATTGGTTTTAAGGTGAACCTGAACAAAGCATAATCATTGACTATTCTTTTTTGTTGTTTTTTTTAAGGAGTGCGCGTTGCAAGCGTTGCTTCTATTGATTGCACACGTGCACATGCCCGAGCTTGTGCGTGCTAGTGAGTGTTCAGGCAAGTTTCTGTGTGTGAGTTGCAGTAAGCGATCCATAACGATCTGCAGGTGGATTGTGCTGATTAGTACCGGCTGCTGTGGACTGAGCTGCGTGCAAAGAGCTTCCTGCAATCTGAGCCTGCCGACTGAGAGAGTGTGTGTGTCTGTCTGTGTGTGTGCGCGATGTCGGGCTCGCTTGTGTGTTGGCAGTCAGCCCTTTCAAAATGTGTGTCAGGGCTGTGTGGTTTTGTGTCTCCGTTTTTTAGGCATGTGCACATCTGACAGGACGTGTGTTGAAGGCGTGTATGTTTGTATGTGCACGTTTCACGTGAAGTTACCATGCAAACATGTGTGTTTGCCTGTTCGCCGCTTCAGTGTCTGATTGCAACAGCAGATGGCTGGATCACTGTGACCTCCCAGAGTGCGCCACTTTCTACACCATTATATATCCACGGGTGCGTGCGTGAGCGCGTGTCCTCGCCGTGTTGGCTTTTACAAGACATACATCTATGCCCGAATCCCCGACACGACGTAAAATGACGGTAAAAAGGGAGGGGAGCCCGTTTTTACGCGCATTTTTTCGTCACCGTTATCCAGCGTGAGTGTTTTCAAAGGCACATGCTGTTCTCAGGCTGGCTTTTTCAAACCACAAAGTTCACACACAGCCATAAAAGTGCAGCCATAAAAAGGGCTGCGCTCGTTCTCCAGACCTGTTTTTGTGTCTCCCTCAGACTCTCTCGGCAAAGGTGTTTTTCTGAGGCTACAACTGTGTGTTTTTTGTGTTGGAGCGGCAGAAATTTGGTTTGCCCCGCGGTTCCTCAGAGCAATATTCATCCTAATCCAGTTTTCCAGTGAGTGATGGAGAGAGCCGAATTGCCTTCAACGCCCTCTGAGTCAGAGCAGGAGGGAGAGAATGAGGAAAGACCTGGTGCGCGCTGCGTTCTTCTGCGTCTTTCCAGCTCCCTGGTGACCTTTCTGCGTGATTATAGGTTGCGTGCGACATTAGAGTGATGCTGTATAATACGTGTTTGCTATTTTAAGCTTTTGAAATTATCACCCTGAGAGCATTTTCGGTGACTTTTTTTTGTGTTTGTAATAAATTGTGGCTCGCAATGGTACACAAAACTCTGATTTGGACCGAGGGTGCAGATAAAAACCTCCCTGCTGACAGCTCGGAAAAGCAGCACATCAAATCCCTTCATAGGCCTGTATTTACACTAACGGTACAGACAGCCAGGGCTTTGGTAGGGTAGCAGGGTTGCCAGGTTGGATCTTACCTGCTAAAATCTGGGCAGCATAAGTGAATGGGACATATGGTGTAATGTGGCTGAATGTGTCACACTCAAATTGCCAGGGCTAAAGATGGTGGGGGAAATAAATGTTAGCATATTTTTGTGGACAGAAAAAAAACAATTTAGCAGAACCCAACCAAGAGCTGGTTTGGCTACAGAGAGCACAGGTATGCTGGGAGGATGAGGGCAGTTCATTGCATGCCAGCTGCAACTGTGTGACCACATAAAACATAAAAATTGAGTTGAGTTCTTTCTCTTAGGGCACTCTTGCTTCTCATCTTGCGGTCCAACAGCGCCTAACTTGGATTCTTCAGTTTGCTGAGTTTGTTGGACTAAAAACAAAAAAGCATCAGAATCTTTGTATATCCTGAGCCTGTAGTCTAAATGTTATCACTATTTTGTTACCTCTCTCACATCGGGATCCATACAAATCCATTATGCATGGAGTGGAAAACAAAACACCACCACATCACAGCGAGCGAATGTGAAATTGTATGTTGCAGTCAGGATTCAACCGAGTTCAACTGTTTTTCAGTGAGTAATGGATATTTTCCAGCTCTATTTTTATTTAGGCATGGGCTGCTCGTGTCAGAAACGCTCATCCGCATCCATCTACTGTCACGATCCAAAAAAACAAAACAAAGAGGCAGTTAAATGGCATGTGCTGTACGTTACACACCATCCCATCTGTCAGCAGCTCCTGTTCAGGCCCTTGTAAAGTAAGACTCTATGTCTGCAGTCGCTGGCTAAATTTGATAAAACACAGTTTTCTTTCCATTTTGCCCATCCATTCTCACCAGGACGCCATTATTTTTTTTAACATTTTGTTTTAGTGTGGTTGCGCTTAACTGAGCTTTGGAGAACAAACCTGGTTTAAGAGTTGCAGTGAAGTTTCAAAGCCAAGTTTCTGCCAGTCGCTGTAGTTAACAATAGTGTGGTTGCCATAGTTTTTTGGTTGGAGTCTTGGTGTAACTGCATAGGAGTTACCGCTGCCATGTGTTGACTGGACCCTGCAGTGCTGTATCATATGAGGTTTGCAATGTGGACAAAGCTGAGCCAAGTTTCACTTTGTTTTGCCAGACCATTTTGTGTGTGTGTGTGTTTTTTAAAATAAATTTTGTTGCAGGAGCTCTCAGCCTTGGAACCCCTGCTGGTGGATGGACAGGCCTCATTCAAATGAACTAAGGCGCTGTACTTTTTATTTTTTTTTCTCATGCAGAGCTGAATTCATTGTGAATGCAGCCCTACTGTAACAGATAACAGCGTGGAGTCAGCTCACTAATTTATGCTCTTTCAGTTGTCTGCAAACAGACACAGGAAAATATGCAAATGAGAACAACTAAATAGTGTGTCTGGTTGCATTATGTGCGGTCATATTCAGAGCAGGAAAGGAACTGAGCAGAGGTTAACCAGCTGAGACACAGCGGAGTAGCCCGGGCCCAGTCTGCTCTTGCCAGATGTTGGCTGAGCTGCATAATTTTTGTTGACCTAAAGAGGAAAAAAGCGATTAAACCATTTTCCTATTGATTAAACATTTCAGCGTGAACGGAAACAATCTGAGGACTCCATTGTCGATGAGGCTGTTTCCACACAAACAGTGCTTTCACAGGGTTAAGTGTGAACATAGCCTCGGCTGTCTCGTGGTTTAGCAGCTGCGGTTGTGGTGGGCAACTCTTGGTTGTGAGAGGTCGAGGGTGGAGCTGATCGTGCCTGCCCATTCACACTGCATTTGTCTAAGTTTGAAGAAAAAAGCAACAGCTCAGATGCGTGATGGAGCTTCCTAAAGAGTTTTGCCCATTTAAGAAAAAAAGTGTAGTTTTGGTTGCTGTGGTCCTGCATAAATACACCCACCCTGCTACCCTTTTCTTTTCATTTCACACTGAGAGGAAGCTCTTCTCTCAGTTCCTCGTACCTCTGACTCCAAACTCTTGGACGGTTTGGCCTTCAGGATGAGTTTAGCTTTTAAACGCGTCCATATGTGAGTGCTCTGTGAGCTTTGTGTTTATTTGTGTATGACCGTCTGGTTTAACTCCTACTTTCAACAGCTGTGGCGAATGCAGCCAGACCTTCCATTGCCAAGTCTCCCTCTTTTCCTACTCCTACTCTGCTTCTGTCTGTCTATCTGTGTGTCTGTCTGCTGGCCTTTCTCCCTCTACCTCCCGTTTTTCTCTTTCTTTCTCTCTCTCCACACATGCAGGCACATGATGCACACACCTCAGGCTTGATATTCATAGCCTCCTCCTCCTTTACTTGACATGGGAGCCTTAACAGATGTGCCCCAGCCTTGAGCTGCCTTCCCCCCCTCTCTCGCTCGCTCTCTCGCCCCTCTCTTTCTCTGTCTCTCCACTGCCTCACAAATTTACCTTTATTTGTCTTTAGACTTCAGGGGAAAAAGCTAAACTGACATATGAGACAAAACGTGAACAATATTAAAACATTTAGATGGAAATAAGGGAGTAAAGAAAACAACAGTGTCTCATTTGCGGACCCTTGGCACATGTAGGTTACAGTATTAAATTATTTACCTTAACGCTAACAAGAAGCAGTTTTACCACATATTTTTGTGTTGTTGTTTTTGCATATATTTACATGTGTGTGCATCTATTATTCACGTGTTTACGCACCGAATGCAAGAAACTGAAGCCAAATTGTGCATAACTTGGCCAAAAAGCTAATTCTGTCATATTCTATATCCTCCATATGGAAATGTAAACTGTACCATGTATGTTGGTGCTCTTCTTTGGCTCTCTTTTTGCATAATCTAACTTTTCTTTTACGCAAATATTCAATCCAATTTCATTTTACTGTCGTGATTATTATTTTCCGCCTCATTTCTGCAGCTGAAAACCTCGCCTATTCCTGTTTTGGAGTTTCAGCGGAGCTTGTGTGTGTGTGTGTGTGCCTCTGTGTGTGTGTGGCTGTCTGTGTGTCTCCGTTCGTGCGTGCGCGCGCAGCCAGTGCCGTGCGCTGGAGGCTTATGGTAATTGCGGTCTCCCGACTGGCCTTCTGGGTAGAGTCTGCGCGAGTGGGAGTGGAGCGAGTCGCTCGGTCTCGGCAGCGTTCATCCATTCTGTGCGGCACTCCCCGTACAGCTCCGTGCGTCCTCGGTGCGAACCGAGGGCTCCGACCGGGCTGTTGTCTGCGATTCTCGAAGAAAACGCGGGACGTTAGAAAAAAGCTTCACGGAATAACCTTCAGCAAACCTTCTCACACACAGAATCCGCTGTTGGAGAGGACATGGAGTGACGGAGAGCGGGAGAAAGGGGCTTTTTCCGAGGACGGCGTGCTCCGCTGAAACCCAACATGGCGCTGCTGCGAGGTACGGCCGAGCTGAATTAATTTCTCCGCGAATCCGCCGACCTCGCCACCTGTATCCTTTGGGGGGCCCGGGCCAAACGGCGCATTGCTCTCCGACTTAAAGGACCTGAACGGATTTTCTTTTGTGGATTTCTCTGTATCCCGGCGTTTGTTTTTCCTCGGCGCAGGATCTTTTTGTTGCTTTATGGAAACCCAAGTGACATTTTCAGCAGCAAAAAGTCCGTTTGAAATATAGGGTAATGGATGAGAGTTGTATGTAGACAATAGAATAAAGACCAAGAGCTTTATATGTGAGACTTGTTTTGTTTTGAGACAAGTGGATAACCTGTTAGACACTTTTAGTTGTTTTTTTTTTTTTTTTTTCCCTTTGGCCGGGATCGTCTGTCTCCAGCAGACAGGACCGTAACCGGGCTCGTCTACGTACGCACGGATCGCTGCCCTCCTAGTTAACTTGGCAAAACAGGAAAAAAGACGTGAGTTGGGGCGCACGGACCACGGCTGGAACTTGCACCAATTAACCAGGTGAGCCAATCAATGGAGAATCAAAATGTATTTGCATTAACATGTGTCTTTGGCTCTGTGAAATCCCCTGCGTGAGGACAGAAAAACGTGCCGCGCTCTGTTTTTAATAGTGCTGTAGCGGCCAAGATGGTTTAAATGATCCCAGTGTTTTCATGTGGTGTGTTTTTAATCAAAAACAGTCTTCTTGTGAGGTTGAATCTGAACGCGATAGTCCGGTGTTGTGCGCGGAGACAGGGAGAGGATCGGCCACTTCTAAGAATAGCGCATAGGGTGGTCTTTGTGCGTTTCGGCGGGGCAGTGGCATGTGGTTGATAAATAACAAACGCGCACACACACGCACAATGATCCGACCGTGAGTTTGGCCTTTTTAACAACTGTCCTGTCCCCCGGACGGAGGTGAAAAGGACGAGTCTCGGAGATTAGCGAACTTGAAAGTGGCGCCGTCCTAGACGGTGAATATTCAGGCTTTTCGCACCCTGTTGTGTGACGGGAGAGTGTGAGTGCCTGTGGGGCGAAGGGTGGGAGTGTGTATGTACGCGTGCGCGTGCGCGCACACGGAGCTTCTGCGCTAAACAAGGTTACGGAATCCAGCCTCGCCCTGCCAAAGGGAAGCGAGCGGTGCTGCTCCGTTTATACACAGTTCAGTTCAGTTGGAGGGCATCCCCGCGGTGTGTGTGCGTGACAGCTGAGTGTGTATTCGTGGGGGAGGTGTGCGTGTGGGGGCTTTGTTTGGACAGAGTGGACGTTGATCAGTCGTCTCATCAGTCCAAAAGGTAGTGTTGGAGGAAAGGTGTGGGGGGTTGGGGAGGAGACGGGACGCGGGACTGCACCGCTCACCTTCCTGTCGAGTTGATGGAAACCGCTCTGGCTTTGTGCCATCGCTCTTTCTCACTCTTTCTCCACACACACAAACACACACGCCGTGGCTTGCAGGTGTTTTCGGATATGACTTTGCTCTACACGGTGTTGTCTTCCACTCTTGCACGCAGTCTTGCTGCGCGATCGTCTTTGCATTGCAGGGAAATATTCTTTGCGCACAGAGGATCGATGTAGCGCCAGTTAGGACCCCCCCTCCCCTCCCCTTCCTCTCCGCGGAGCTCCGATGCGCGCTGCTCTCTTGTCGGGAGAGTGTTCAAGCCAGACTCTTTGATAATATTAAAATACTTTCCAACCTGACGCGTACTACTGTCACCGTGGCGTTTCATAGTTTGGCCAGCTTTGGTTCGCTTCACTTTTAACGCAATGTACAAATTTATACTCTGCCCACTTTAAAATCTTTATTTTTTTCACTTTTCAGTCATCTAATCTCTGCACTATTGTGGCAGACGGCAATCAGGATGAGCCGCTTCTTATAAAGTTGCTGTTTAATTGAAATAAGTGCTGCAAGGCGAGTTGGACGCGATCCAAACGGAATCGTGTTACCTAACGATTCTTTAAAGCTCCTTTGCGGGCTGCGCAGTTTCACGAGCAGCAAAACGGCATTTAACCGAGATATGCTTTTTTTTTTTTTTTCCTTGAGACGACTTCGTCTAGACCGCAGGAAAACGGCCTCACATCGGCGGAGTTTCCCCTCCCGTGCCGCCTCTGCCTGCTGCCTGTCCTGGAGCCACACAGGCACTAATTAGGGGACGCTCTCTTAGGACGATCGATGTGCCTCATATTGGCTGGCTCCAGCTCATTGACGAGCTTAGTGAGGGAAGCAGCTACTAAAAGACCACTTCAGCCTCGGCAGCCAATCCGTGCGGGAGATACGGGAAAGAATCGCTCATAACGCAAACGTCTGCTCGGCTGAGTGCGCAAAGGCAGGTTGCGGGAGGAAGGAGGGGGGAGCAGAAACTCGTGTTGGGACCTTTGGAAGGAACGGAGTAGGGGATTAACTGGTGGGGGGTGGAGGCTACTTCAGAGGGCTTTGATGGAGAATAAAAGCGAAGTTGTGTTTAAATTAAACGTCGGCCTTAATTGGTACGGCAAGGTAAAGGAAGTGAGGAAGGGATAAACACGTGGAGATGTGGAAATTTGGATGCACATGTGAGGATTAGGAGCGGTCATCCATAAGAACTTGTAATTATTTACGAAACGGAATAGATAAATGAGGCTACAGTGGTCCACATTTTTGACGTTGTGGTGGAAATAATGATGCATTAAGTCGTGGCCTCAGGTTTTCTTGTCATTTCTAGTTGCTTGAGGATTTCTCTCCCAAAAAATACAAGTGGATTTCATGCATTACGCAGCCACATTGGAATAATCCGGCCTTCAAACATCACCCTGTTTGCTTCTTTTTTTTCTGAATAAACCACAAACTTTAATGACTGCTAAGTCTGATCTCTCAGTAATATAGTCTGTTCCCCGTGTGGCATGTTACGGAAGCCTAAAACAAATACTTCACATTTTGTGTGGGCCGAGTTTATTTATAGTGTACCCCGTCGGACTGTTTTGCGCATCATTTTTCCGCTGCGCGCTCTGAAGCCAGTGTGGGACTGATCTGTTTTCCAGGTGTTGGAACACAGATGGGGGAGGGCTGCTTACCATAGATTTGCCATACTGATTTTTCTCTCCTTCCCTGACAGGACTTCACACTTCTTCCGCAAACAGTGTTTTATTGCCCATTAGTTAGCCAAAATGCGCTTCAGCGGGGCCCCCTCAAGCAAAATAGGATTTCATTTGGTGCTAATTTTATTCATTAGAAATAATCTCTAATTAGAAATGCGCAAAGAAAAACGGTGTGGGCTAATCACTTTCACCTCTGTCAACCTCACCTCCCCAAGTGCAGACAAGCCAGTTCAAATAAACACTATAGGTTCTAAATCTGCGGAGGTGCGAATGGATGTTTTACGCATTAAAGGCATCCGAGAAGCCACGCTTTTTTTATTTTTTTTTTGGAGCACGCTGTGGAGAAATTCACAGTTTCAGGGATTCAAAAGTTCACCTGGAGGCAGCACCAGTCTTCGGGGCCTGGTGGGGCTCATTGTCATGCTGAGTGATGTGTGACAGTGGATGTGTCAGCGTGGCGCTCCGTGGGGCGCCTGGAGGATCTGCGAAAGGGACAAACCGCGCCGCCTCCATTTTAAACCCATTAACCTCCAGTTTGTCCGCTTTTTCTAATCTGGAATCAATAGGGACCACGCGGGGAATATTACGCACAGAGAGCGAGAGCGTGTCAATACAATCACGGGGCCACTTTTGCCGATCAAACCTAATGTGTTCGGGGGAAGTAGTCAAGGAGGAATATTCGTCAAAAGCTATCCCCGTGTTCTGTTTTATATCCAGACAGAAGGCACAAGGGCTGTCTCATTGTTGTCGCGCTTGTTTTTTTTTTTTTTTTTTTCCCTTCCCTTTTTGTCTCACTCACGCCTGGATATAAAACAACAGTCTCGTCGCTGCCGGCGCTGCGCTCGCTGCTGCTGAGGCGAGATGCGTGTGAACAAAAGCGGAGGCACGGCAGAGAGCCGAGGAGAGATCGGTTTTCCAGGCGCTGCGCAGCTCCCGGAGGAGACGTCACGGTTTGATTGAAGCTATGCTCCGTGCTGGCCTCCCGGGACCTCGCGATGAAACGGGAGAGCCCCCCTTCCTCCCTCCTTCCCTCCCTCCCTTTCCACCCGCCTCTCTCCCTCCCTCTCTCTCCCTTTTCTCTCTGAGCGCTCCACTAAGCTTTTTGTTTCGACGAGGTCTGGAGCGCACGGGTCACTTCCCTGCAGAGATGTGTCGGCCCCCCCAGTACTGTTTCACCCGCGCGGAGACGGTCAGGACGGAGCCACATCACATTATTCTCTTCTTCAGCAGCTGTCTGGCATATTAAAACCGATGTTCCTGCAGCCGATTACGCACGGTTTAAGTTGTTTTTTTTCCCTTCTAAGTTCTCGGAGTTTTGCTCGATAACCGTGTCTCCAAACGGAACATTTGGCTGGATTTACTGATAAAACGCCACATCCAGTGACTTAACGCGATATGAACGCACAATTAAAACCTCGCTCTGATTGCGCTTAGTTTACTGACCTCGCTCTGGCCTATCGGAAGATTGATTTGGCAGCAGAGTAATGATGACACACCTCCCTCCCTCCTCCGAGCCTCTGCAGGCACAGTCTTGATCAAGCCTCCTCGTTTGTTTTTAGACATCGGTGCCTCGGGCATCGCTGACGAAATCCCACAGACTCTTGGCAGTGCAGCAGGGTAGCAGAGATAGGAGTTTATTACAGCAATAGCCTTCAAAGCAGGAATGCGTTATCTGCTGTCTGGATGGCACGTCACTGAGTTCGTGTTGGCTGCAAAGTTTCTGACCTCGAGTTGGGGATCCTCGCAACTAAACACCTAAAGTACATTATAGTGGAAAAACCATTATTCTTTTAATGTATGAGACAACTCACATTCATATCCTGCTTCTGTCCTGCCTGTGTGACGCATCGTCTAACTTTAGCGTTGAAAAGTACTCCTAAAAGAGATTATTATTTATTTGGGGTCATATGAAAGTGGATCATGTGTTTTTCATCACACAAAAGCAGAGCCAGCATTTTTTTTTTCCTTCTCTCCTCCAGAAACGTCAAGAAAGCTCCGGTAAACGACTCGTGCATGCGCATCTCTATTACAATCGGGTCCTTTGGTGGCATAAAGGGCCATTTAGTCCTCATTTGGCCCGGGATGAATAGAGCCAGTTCAGCAGCCGCCGCCCGGGCCCTAGTGACAGCACGGGTTGGGGGTTGGGGAAGGAGGGGGGTGGGGGGTGGTGGTGGCGCTCACAATGTCGCCGTTGTTGACGGCCGTGTTGCCGAGGGGGGGAATTGAACCGTGCACCGACTTGCATGCGGCTGTGCAGCGGCCCGGGAGGACGCAGGGGCCCCTTGTTTACAACTCGGTCGCTAATAATGTGACAGCTGAAGAGACGCCGCCATCTCCTTCCAGCTCCAGCAGCAGCAGCGCAGCTTTCGCTCTCTCTCGCTCCCTCTCTCTATCTCCAGCGTTTATCTCCCCCATCTCTCTCCTCTCTGTTGAGCTACAATCAGGAACAGCATGTCAACTTTCCATAAGACTGCGCTGAGCCTCCGCTGACATGATCAATTGGACCATTTGGCACGCGTTGGCCTGATAATCAATAACAATTAAAATTGGGCTCGTCTGTCTCGCCTTTTCCTCATTATGATGCTGGGCGTTAATGTTGCCTGAGGCTGTGCATAGTTTGTAGCCGGGCTGTAGTTTTTCTGCCGCTCGCTCCTCGTGTGTTTTCTCAGATTTGCTCCCGCTGATTTCTGTTTTGTTCACCGGCTGCGTGCGCAAAAAAAATTCCTCTCGTTTTGAGCGCACAAACACTTACACGCACACACACACTCACACACACACATACGCACACAGCGTCCGTGTGCAATGGTGTGTGTGTCTGTGTGCGCGCCCGCATTTAATCCGTGTTTATCCCCACCCCACCCCCGTCGCTGCGGAGATTATCCTGCGTCATACTGCATTTTTTTAGAGCTGATCGGAGCTCTGCGCTTCAGAGAGCTTGGCAAAGCTCCAGGGACAAAGAGCGAGAGGGCGCCCATACACTCCCGTCACACAGCGAGACCCACATTCCCGCTTTCCCCGCTATTCTAGACGCGAAAACGTGACTAAATCACACAGACGGTGCGGTCTTTGTGCATAATCCACGTCCTGAGTTTCTTTTAGTGTGCCCCTGCGCTCCTAGCTGGTCATTTATCAACTTGTGAAAAAGGAGACGAAGCTGCTAAATGGTGACATTAAACCAGCTCCACCAGCAGCAGCACATACAGAGATATAACCTACATATTAGGCTATTGGTATGCACGCAACCGCTGCGCTGCACGGGGAGTAGAGAGGCCTCAGCCCGGAGGAAACGATGAGCGGTGCCGGTGTTTGTTCTGGTGCGTATAGCGACGGGTCACGGAGAGTTCAAGTCGCTGTCATCAGAAACAGGAAACAAAAGGGAAGAGAGGGAGAAGCGAGTTTGTTTTTCCTCCCTTTCTTCTCTTCGTCTTTTTATCAGTCTATCATTCTGTCCTTGTTTACTCCTCCTGCGCGGAGACAATGCCGAAATAGGCTGCAGGGGCTGAGCCAGGTTCCGTCTAAAAAACACCCGGTGGTTTTCTGTTTAATGGTGCGAGTCGGGGCTGCGCTCCAGCGGTCTGCTTTATAAACGCAGCACACCGGCCGCTGCGCTCTCTCTCCCTCTGTCTCCCTCCCTCTCTCTCTCCCCCCTCCTCTCCCCCCTGCCTGCTGCTGCTGCCGCCGCTGCTGCCGACCAGCGTGATGGATTGGACGGCCGTCGGGAGTTGTTTGTTGCGCAAACTATTCTTAGCAGCGGGGATGGGCGTCAACACAGCGCCTTTTTCCTCCTTTCCTATCTCCCGTTTCGCTCTTTCTCTCTCTCGCTCGCTTTCTCTCGCCGTCCTTCCACTCATGGTGCGATATTATGTTAGGTTTCTTCCCAGAAAATTCTCAGACACCACTTGGCTTCATCTGACATTTGATATCCTGTAGGCCTAAATGGAAACTCTTATTGATGTGATGTTAGCTGAGCTCCAAATCGTCTCCACTTAAAATATCAGCAATACCATAAAAGCATTATTGCGCATCTATTTTTCTTTCTTTCTTTTCTTCTTCTTAATTTAATACCAGTTTAGTAAGCTGCAAACTCTGGATGAGAGGAACTCCCTCTCGTGCGTTTTGGCGCACTGACTTTTACAGGCGTCCAGTTTTATTCCCAGCGGGTTCGTGGCCATTGGCCCCGGTGGAGTCTCACATCTTATCTTGACGACAATAAATTTCATGGAAAAGACAGGTGCCGCTGTGCAAATACTCAGTGTGGGTGAAGTAATAGTCACAAGACACCACACTTTTGATGTTGTTGCTGACTTGAACGAGAGCAGATAATTTCCGTTCTAAGTCGTTTCCCAGCTGTGTTTTTGTTTTCTTTCCGGAGACGCAACGAGGATTTGGGCTAAATTTATTCCAGAGACAAATATTTCACTATGTTGGCAGTTGCGTTTGTGTTTATGTTGTGCAGAAATGTCCATAAAGTCGCGCATATCTGCTTCTGAGTGAGGCTTAATCCTTCGCTATCGTGTTGCTGTCTCGTTGAGCGCAGACTTTTCAGTGCAAGGGCAGCCGCCGTGTGTGTGCGCAAACCACTCTCACTTGGTTGGCGTGTGAGACAGAGAAATGGTGCGTGTGACGCTCCAGGAAATGCAGGAACGGGGAGTGATGTGATTTCTCAACGTCGTCTGTGTGAACTGGTGAAACGCACACACGGAGACGAGCACACGTTCGCACACTGTTGCGCTTTTACGCACACCGTTTCGGTTCCCTTGTTGAAGCAAGACGGGCCGCGGGGAAGCTGTAGCTGGATCTGGTGGGGGTGGGGGGGCTGTGGGGGGATGGGACAGGGAGAAGCCGTGTCGAGGGGCCCACAGCAGGCTGATTAATGTGCCCCGGGTCACGGCAATAAAAGTGGCGTGCCAGCGCCTCGGCAGCGAGGCGCAGAGGCGTTTCTCTGCAATGATCGAGGAGCCGAGTTTCTCTGCTGCTCTCAGCACCGCAAAGCTTCACTTTTTCTATTTAAAGCCACTTCTCTCTCACTGTCTCCCACCTCATTCCTGTAGTTACTGGCTCTACTAACAGGCCTGCCTCGCAGAAATGTCCAAACCAAAAGAGTAATCAAGTCATCATTCAAACTTTAAATATATCCTTTTGAATAAAATCTGCTAAGTGTAGCAATATTCTCACCTTCCCTTTTTGTTGTTTCATCTGAGGATTTTGAAAAAGCTTCCGAAATTAGGCTTACTCTGTTAGTGTTAAGATCCTACTTGACTCAGTGGCCCATAAATGTTGAGTGATTTCTCCATTTTGCTGTTTGAACAAATAGATTTATGAATACAAAAAGTGTGTGGTTTGTTACAGTGTCCCACTTAGTCAGAAATGCACAAGCAAGTTATTTCCCCTGCTCTTACAATGAAGATATGTATACTATAAGCTCACAGCATAATGTAAATACAAATTGGAAATTTTCAAAAACAAAAGTTTCCTCTCACCACAGTTGAAATTTGTTTTTAAATCTGCATTATCAGCATCCAGTCAATAGAAGCACCTGATTAGCAACCAACTGTTGAATTTGTTGTTTCATAAACTGTTGCAGTAATGAACAATAGGCAACTATTGTCTTGTAACTTATTGCACATTTCCTTCATGTAAAATAACAACTGTGTTATGCCCTAGAACTTTTAAGAAATTCATATGTACACTAAACATTGACAGTTCAAAGGGTATTTCACGCACAAAGGGATCTTTGCGTTTTGTTTGTTTGCTTATTGTCATTAACTGTGTGACTTTCAAAGAACAATTTCAAAGAAACACCATTTTCACTTCCATAGTCGAGCTACTTTCTTTAATCTTTATACCTGCCCTTTATGTTTTCAAACTCAATCTGTGGTTTATTGTAAATTTCACGTGGTTGTCTTGTTTTCTTTTGCATGCTATAGTGTGTGCGCGTTCTAGTGTGAGTGTTTGTTGATCTGTGGCCCTGTGTTGGCGGGTGGTAAATGGTCTCCCACCGAAGTGGTCCGCGATGCATAATCTTACCTCGCTCTGCTGGCTGAGGCAGCCGAGAAGAGCAGGTCAAAGAGGGCGCAGGAAAAGCCAGTGTGTGAGGAACGTGACTGAAAAGATGTAGCCCCATAGTGCACGTCTAGCCCTTGGGGTGGGCAGGTTGGGGTAATGGGAATGAAGGGGGGGAAGTGGGAGGAAGGGTGAAGGGGTGTTGACGAATGGGAGGAGAGACGGGGGAGCCCACACAGTACTTTAATCTCCAGTGAGTACTTCAGTGGACTGTGCCATTATGTGTTTCTTCTTTGTGTTTTTACCCTGCTGTCTCATTTTACTTACACATCTCGGCACTACACCTAATTTCTATATAACAATGTTGCATACGTAGGTATATTATTTAGATCTGTGGTCAAGTATGTGCAGCACTCTTTTAGAGACTTTAGTCACTGACAGTTTTACCTCGTCAAACATTTTTTGGCACTGGGATTGCAACAAAGCTGAGGTGTGTGTCTGAATGTGTGTGTATGTGACAGAGCCAAGACACTGACTGCTAACTGTTTGCTCATCTCCACAGGGCAACATCTGTTCGTGATGTCGATGCTGAGGCACAAACCAACCTGGAACTAAGACAAGGGAACCACATCACACAAAACATGGCAAGTCCCCGTGCTCGTCCTAAGCACAGATTTTTCTCTCTCATGGTTTACATAAGTCACTATTATTTGGATAGACATTTGGTCTATTTTTTGCTATTTGCATGCACAGAAGTAATCTCAAACACTCTGAAATTATTATTTTTTGCTCTGTTTAGTGGTCATTGTTTTGTATTTTGCATAAATTTTTTTGAGGGATCTTCAATGCTAATAGACACATTGTCCTCACATTGCGGCAGGTGGATGCAAGGTTGACGCCCCTGGCAGCAATGGGGCTGGACCGAGGCACTCTGATACATGATGGTCTTCGTCTGCATAGTGGTGTTGTGTACCCAGGAATCAGAGCACTACCAGCGGAGAAGAGCCGGGAGACACCCACCCTCCCGCTCACTTATAACAGGGATGGTCTCCCAGAACTCATCTACAAGCCTGATGGCCCTCTGGACAGTCGTAAGCCCACAAATGGATATCTCGGCCTTTACAAGGGCACACATCCAAGTCTCCACAAGCCTGTGCTGGTTCCTGGAGCTGGAAATGAAGGTCTGGGCTTGGAACGCAGAGTAGGGCCTGGAGAAAAGGCATCTGAACTGGGCTTGGCAACTGCTGGTGGCAGCTACCTCCGCATGCCGTGGCTCAGCCCTTACCCTGAAGCAAGCATGTATCCCTTCATGGACACATCCAAGTACGCAGCTCTAAACATGTACAAAGCGTCCTTGCTCAGCCAAACCAACCCCTATCTTCCCCAGCACCTGCCCTACCCGACTCTGTGTGGAGCCCAGGGGGGCAATGTTACCTCTGCTGCAGCTGCCTCTGCTGCTGAGAGGCTCTACTATATGCCTCCCTATCCTCCCTCTCCCATCTCTTCTCCCCTGGTGGCACCCCCTATGAGGATTCCTGCAGTCACAGTGGCCCCCACATCACTGGTGCACTGCCAAGATAAGGGGCTTGGTGTTGCACCTCAATTTGCACAGCAGCTTCACCAACCTTCCCCTCATCCTCAGCACCATCAGGCTGCTATAGACAGGGACCGGTCCCCAAGCAGGAGCAACAGACCAAGCAGACCTCCTTCTAGGAAGAGTTCAAGCACCAACAATAATACCAGTAGTACTAGCACTAGTGGCACCAGTGGTGGGAATAATAATAGTATACCTACTGATTCTTCTCCTCACATGTCTTCTCGCCTCCCTCAACCTCCCCCTCCTCCTGCTCTTCTCGACAATTCACTGGATCTACAAAGACCAGTTGCCAGGATAGGACAACCATCCACATCCTCTTCTTCTTCAGTATCTGCCTCATCCTCATCCACGCAGTCCATTCCTCATCCTTTCTCTGTCAGCAGCATGGCATCAGAGCAGCCCTCTCCTGCCCGACCCAGCCCCCACAAAAACAGGCAAAGAGAAGGGGCCTCCGAGCACAGAAGTGTAGGAGTCGAGAGAAGACCCAGCAGGTCCCCTTCTAAAGTAAATTTTGAGAGGCCAGCTCACCAACCCCAAGCAACCAAAGACTCAGCAGAGAAGCCCTTGGATTTGTCTGGGAGAATGCTGGAGTTTGGACTACCTTCTAGTGGATTTCCAGTTAAGATGGACCCTATGGCATCAGGTGCACGTTACGGACTTCCTCCAAGCCGAGAGCTCCTAAAGGAAAACTTGTCCCTTTCTCCTTCCTCTCATCCTCACTCTGTGGTTAGCAGCACTTCTTCAAAGGTCTCAGACAGGCCAGAGATGATCAGCACTTTACACTCCTCCTGGGTTGTACCGAGCCCATCTCCCTCACACACACAGCACACACCAGGCTTGCCCCCCTCTCCAAGGCCCAACACAGACCTGGGTCTTTCACAAGCCAAAGGCTCTTCACCCTCTGTCATCAAAAACAAGAGTCTGGAGAGAGTACTCCCTCAACAACGTAGCTCATCCTGTCCACGGATAGGAGAGCCTAACCATAATGTTTCCACCACTCAACACTCTGGCTCCTCTTTGGTCAGCTCCAGGGCTCTTTCTCCCAAACCTAATGGTGAGTGGGTCAAACACAGCCCCAGCCAATCAGATCATCCACAAGTTGCAGGCCACCACAGAGAGGGAACAGAGAAGTCCTCCCAGACCACTAAGAGAGGTGAAACAACTCCAGATGTGTCATCATACAAGAGGCCTTGTTTAGAGAATGGTCACCCTCCTAGCCATCTTTACCTTCCTCAAAGTGATTATTTGAACCACAGCTTGGCTTATGCCAACAGATACTTACACTACCCCATCCCTGAAGGCATGGCGCTACACTCTGTGCCAATAGGAGGGAAAGGCCCTGTCTACCCTCACCCAGTATTGCTGGGCAGCAGCAGCCTTTACCCAACCCACTTGGCAGCAAAACACCCTTTACCCTACCACAATCTCCCAGCTGGTCCTGCAGGGGAGTACCTCACTTATAACTCACAGGAGATGGTCCATCCCTTGATGCAGACACACTCTGACAAGCTGCCAGAAAGGGCAGATGCAACATTGAAACCCCGGGGACAGGAGAAATCCCGGGGAGCTGTCGAAGAATGTGGGAGTCACAGAGATCACAACACTGGGAAAGAGACAGGCGAGGGAAATCAGATGAAGCCTGATAAGGAGGCGGGAGCACAAGGACATGGTGGAAGTCATAGCAAAACCCCCTCTTCCTCTGCAACATCCAGAGAAAAGATTGTCTGCATTGACCTTGTACACTCAGACACAGATATTGAGTCTGCCCCAACAGTCCACAAACAGCCCTCTGCTGAGACAAGCACCAAGGTTAACCAAAATGAATGTTGTCATAGTAACCAAAATCTGACAAAGACTGACTATGAGCCAAAACACCAACACCACCTTCCCAATCCTTATCCGATCCCCTCTGGACAGAGCCCCAACCTAAAGCCCAACCACACTGACAGACAGCCAGAAATTTCCTTTGGAAAAACAAAGGTTCTCCAGGACACAGGCTGCCCTGGGGTGACATCCAGCACATCCCCAACTTCACCAGGGCAGGCTGTTCAAGCAGAAGAGAGCTCTGAGGAGCAGAGCCCCAGCCCAGACCCTGGAGACCAAGACCAGAGCACCCTGCGCTGTGCCCGCACATCAGGGGAGCGCAGCTCTGGTAAGGACAAAAGCGACAGGGACAACCAAGCTCCTCGTCTTATACAACACTGCGCAGATGTGGTGAAGGATTCAGACCATGAAAAAATGAGCGACAGAGAGACTGAAAAGGAAAACAGTATTGTTGACCTAGGGGAGTCTCAAGGAGAAGGGGATGACGAAGAAGAAGATGGTTGCCAGAATTCATCTAAAGGCTCTCGTAGATCCAGTCTGGCCAAAAGGATTGCTAACTCCTCAGGCTACGTCGGTGACCGTTTTAAATGTGTCACCACTGAGCTGTATGCTGACTCCAGCAAGCTGAGCCGTGAACAGAGAGCTCTGCAGGTAAGGCCAGCAACATTTGTGTGAGTGAGTGTGCGTGTGTGCTTGTGTGTGTTTGTGTGTGTATATAATTATATATATTTACAGTACATGATATATTGGACTAAAGTTGGTGGTGGGCTGGAGAGAGGTCATTATGACCAGCCTTTTTTTTTTTTTAATGCAGACATTTCAAACATACTTTCAATTCTAACATCCACACAGGAATAAACCTCCCATGGGCCACTGTCTTTATTCCCTTGCTGCAATATTCAGAACTGCCTGTGGAACAAACCCTGCATGAATTTGGCATACTGCATTTACAACACAGTACCGAGTAATACAAGTGCTGTCATGCTACTGTCCTGGCCATAGGTCTGATCTTCCCTTTAGTTTATCATTGTCTTAGTGAGTTGGTACAAGGCCAGTTGAGGCCCTCTTTCAGGGGTGGGCAGTTCAAAGGTTAACCAGGGCTGCCATCTCTGTATGTTGATTAGTGAGCAGCCATTGTAAAGGTTATTTCTGTGCGTGCGTGTTTGTGTGTCCGTACGTGCTTGTCCTTGTGTGACTGCCTTGGGGCTAAAGCATGTGTTAGCGCTGACTATGCTATAGAGATATATACAGTAGTTTCCGAGCATGACTGTGGCACCCTCACAGTTCACACTGCCTTTGGCTATGCTTAACCCCAAGGTTAGGGGCAGTGGAGGGCTTGCAGTGTGCTTAACAACCAACAGCTGCCCTCTTCGGGGTTCCTCTAAGGCTTTCTGCATGCCCCCCGTTCGCCAGTCACTATCCTCCCCCAACCCACCTCCCTCTGATGGCCTGTGCTGCCCTGCCTGGTTGCTGTCCAAGGTCATATTTCTCCTCACCCCATTGGCTCAAAGACCCTCTCTCCTAACACACATCACATGACGTCTACAAACACACATGCGAAAACATCACTTACACATGGCTATCATTCAGTGTCACTCATGTACACACACAGAGCATTTTAAACTGCCATCTCTGGGGTTCCTTACTTTCAATGTTCAGCATAGAAACACAAAGAAACCTTATTCTATATTATCCACAGGCTCAGAGGCAGATATGGTTTAATAGGTTGCACATGTCTGTCTATGTTGTGAATGCACCCCAGAAAACTGTGGTTTTGTCTCTGTCTTGCTTGTCAATGCGCAGCTGCAACACAAAGCTATCAAACACTGTATTTCTGGACATGTAAAAATCACATGTGAACTTTTTGGGTCTAAAAAAAACCCAAAACAGACAGTTAAAACTGAATACGTGTTATCAATTCCGTTATATATATTTTTTTGATTCACTCTTGTCAAATTAGGCACTCATGCAGTTCAGAAATTATTTGATAGTTTTGATGCAGTGTTAATTGACCTGTTGAGTCACTTTAATTTGATTGTGTTATTTTGTGGGATTGTGGCTGCCTATTGTGTGTAAAGAAACATGTGGAGAAACATAACATAAATTCATTAAAAAAAAGATGAAATGCTGGACAGATATATTGAGCCCCCCATTCTAATTGCTTAGATGGAAGTCATATCACGAGAGGGGAGTAATATAAGTCAACCTGCAGCTAACTGGGAGGTCAGTTCTTTACATTTCTTATCACATCTGCCTCTGATGGGCTCTGTCTCCTTTGTACTCTGTATCGCTGCACACTCCTTGTTTTTCCCCACTCCCTTATTTCCTCTTTTTCATCTCCTCTCTCTGCCTCAGGGCTTAGATGTATATGTTTCCTAGCCATGTTTATGTTTCAGGAAGGGAGATGCCAGGACTTTAAGCCCCAGAGCGCATGGACTCACAGTGGCTGCAGTAGTCTAACCTGTGTCTTGATGCCATGCTTGTGATTTATCTGTCTTCCTTTTTTTTTTTTGTTTTTTTGTTTTTGTCCTGTGTGTGTGTGTGTGTGTGTATGTATGTACGTGCGTGTGTGTGGGTTTAATTTCTTTGGCATTTTCTTTTATTTTAAGACAATGTGATTTTCTTTTTTTTTTTTTTTCTGATGCAATTTTTTTGCTTCTGTAGCTGTTGAGGCCAGATTGAGGCTTAGAGAGGTGTGTGTGCGGCGTGGGCAGATGATGAGTGGTTTTCATGGGTTTTCTCTGCATTTTTGTGTGTGTGTGTGTACGCACAGCGGGCGATGATGCGGTTCTCGGAGCTGGAGCTGAAGGAGAAGGAGGGCGGCGGTGTGTGTGTGTCTGCCCCGGCAGCGGCAGCAGGACGGGAGCTGGCAGACGGCCAGCGCAGAGAGCGAGCGCTGGAGCACTGCCAACACACCACCAGGCAGGGAGAGAGGGAGGGTGAGTAACCCAGCACCGCACACACTCGTGAGGCACGCTCGCACACACAACACAACACATGCAGACGCTCGGCAAATGAACACTCAAAAAAAAAAAAAAAAAAAGGGACACACACAAACAATAGGTGCACACTCGCTCACATGCACTTGCAGCAAATGCTGAGGCAAGACCGGGTCACTCTATAAAAAGACACACACACACACACACACACACACACACGCATGCATGCACACACTCTTACACAAGCTCGGCAGCGCAAGCCAATGAGCGAGCGAGGGAGACGGAGAGAGGGGAGTTTTATTTTCAAGAAGCCTTTTGTGCTTATCTGCGCAGGGAGAGACGATGGAAAGGGAGGGCAAGGGGAGAAGGAGGGGCAGAGATTGCGTGAGTGAGGGAGAGAGTGAAAGCAGAGGGGGGGAGTCAGTCAGTGGGTGAGAGCGGATGGGAGAGCGCAACGGAAAGAGAGGGGGGTAGTTACATTGGCTGGGAGCCCAGCTGTGTGTTGGAGCGAGGCCGCGGCTGACGTGTGAGCCTAATTATGGCATGGAGGGAGACGGAGGAGTGGGGGAGCAACGGGAGGAGGGGAGGGGGGGGGATAGAGTCACGCTCTGTGTGAGAAGGGCGTGGTGCGGTCAAGCCATGGGGGAGGACAGAGAAAGAGAGGGGGGGAGGCGAGGCGGGATGGGAGTCGCCGTTGCACAGCGCAGGATGTTTTCTTGCCTCTCCACGCTGGAAGTGTGAGCGGCTGCACTGAACCATCAGGCCGCTGGCTCGGCTCACATCAGATTAAAAAGTCTTTACCCCATCAAAGTTTTACTGCCTGTCTTTAAAGCAGAATAAAAGCTGGCTGGTGTTTAAGAGGCATTCTCCCTCTGTCAATCCCCCTCCTCGTCTCGCTCCCGCCCCTTGTTTCCCTGCTCGCTTTCTGTCTGTCTGTCTGGCTTGCGGTCGGTCTGTCTGTCTCCCTTTCATCTTCTTTCACTCATTTTGATTCTGCCCTTTGAGCCCCCCTTGTTCCTATTGTTGTGTGTGTGTGTGTTTTTTTAAATCCGACTACCGCAGTCCCTGAATTACGCGAACCCCAAATAATCACTTGAGTCGGTGATCATCTGTCCACTTGTAGATTTATTGTGCGCCGCACAGAGGAGACTACAGCGAACTGAGCCGGTCTCGAGGTCAACCGAAGTTATAACAGAAAACATAAATACGATATAGGTTTCCCCAAAGTGCCATTATCACCAGATTCTCACCTCCTGTCACGAGCTGCATCACAACGATGTGTGGGATCATCTTCGCGGGCTGTTGTTTGCATTCGAACCTCGTACAAATCTTTGTTTTCAGCACGTCTTGTGATTTGGATGTTTGGATGAGGCTGACAGAATAGCTCACACATCTTTATCAAAGCCTCTTTTTAAAATTCACATACTGACCACCTAGTTCCTGAGCTGCAAGATCTGACTGACCCTTGTGGCCCTTTTTTATATGCATGTCTCATCAGTACAGTTTATTAGCATGGTTTTTGCATCACATTTTAGCTTGTACGAGCGTGTCTTTTAAATATATGTGAACACAGTGAAAATACCTGTTTGGACATGCACTTGATTATAATTCCTCCATTGTCCTTCTCTCTCAGGTGTCCGGCCGCCCTATACAAACAACAGGGTTCCAGTCCTCCAGAGGTGTGGGGGCCTGAGAGAGCCTTTGTCCCCAGGCCACGGAGTCCAAGATGGGGCCAGAGGTGTCAGCCAAGGAGGGCTAAAGGACGGAGCCAGGAAGGCGTTAAGAGAGTCCGAAGAAAATCATTGTATGCCACCCACTTTGACACCATCAAAAGGGTACCTTGAGGAGAAGGTCAACCCCGGCTTTGGACCCACCAGGAAACGCCCACTCTGCCTCAAGACTGAGCAACAAGACGCAGAGAGGGAGGAAGAAGAGAGGGTGTCCCTGCCAGAGAAAAGAGCCAAGCTCACTACGGGTGAGAATTTCAGAAACATGCCTTGTCACTCACATAACCCACCCCCCCACAACGATTCCTCAAATCATCTCCTTCCTCTGTTCCTCTGCTTTCCATGCATCTCTAGAATTCTGCCTGCTTCTTTTCCCTTCGTTCTGTGATGCCGAGCCCCGTCTCATCCCTTGTTCCTTTAAAAAAAAAAAAAAAAAAAAATCTTCCTATTCCTTTTGTCGCTTCCCCCTTCCCAATCAATTCCACGTTAAACCCGCTTCATCACAACCCTCACTCTTCCTCCCCCTTCCCGCTCTCTGTCCCATGTTTCGCTCTGTGTGGCAGCCAGCTCTGAGAAGTGTTTAATCCTGCCTTTGAGCGGAGTGCGAGGAGAGAAACGAGGAAGAGGGACAGCCATTCTCTCTCTCTTCTTTCAGCTCTGCCGTTCCTCCGCTGTGCTTACCCACCCTCTTCAAAGCTGCTCTTTTCTTCTCTTTTCATCTCCTTTCTTTTTTCCCTCATCTGTTTGGGTTTCCTTTTTTTCTGGCATGCGGTATCGTGCTCGCTCTCCTCGGCACTGGCAGACAAGTCAAATACCCGTCCCCTGTGAATTTCAGGGGGGAGAACCCTCCCTCTGCTTCCCCGGTCTTTATTGCTTTGTTTCTCCAGCCGATTCTTGACTTCTCTCCCCTTTTTACTCCTCAATCTGTCTGTTTTACATCCTGCTCCCTGCCTCTCTTGCCTGGGTGTGTGTGTTAAATGTACGGCTTAGATGGGGTTTTACCAGCCGTAAGAATGTAGTGATTAATGACCTTTGTTCTTTGTGTTCTGTGGTTTGCGTGTCAGTATGTATGTGCATACAGTAGATGTGAGAATGGCTTTGAAATGTTGAAAACCTTTTGTTCAAATGTGCACTCAGTGACACTTGGAAGAAAAACTGTTATGGTTTAAATTGCCCGCAATGCCTTTCTAAAGTCATCTAGTGGGTTTTTAGCAACTTTTACAAGACCAAGTGAGAAAAATCTAATTTCTCATATAATCTTTCAAGTGAGGTTCAAACTTAAAAACCATAAAACCTATTGCAATTCATGTCTTTCGTGGCACTACAGCACCATGTGAGAACACACATTACAAGTTCTGCGCTGTCTGCAGATGAGCGTGACCAGGCCAGTCACGACGATGACGATGACGAGGAGGTGCGGAAGCTCAAAGTCTGCATCGAGCTCAAGGGACTGCGACTCAGCAAGCCTGCCGCCGGTGCCACTTCACCCGACGGGATCCAGATCAAACAGGAGAGGCCGTGGCCACAGCCCCGACTGCTGAACCCGCTCCAGAGTGTACGGGATCGCAAGATCAGGCCGAGCGAGCCCGAGGACAGAGCGGCGGCGCAGATCAACAGGAAATGGGTCTGCGAGAAGCTGCCTAATGGTAAGAGTGAACCACCAGCCGTACAAACCGCTGCCTATTCCGAGTTCAGCTAGGGTAACGGAAATCTATCTTTGGCTCACGTTTCGCTTTCTTGTTGAGCAGACTGACTTTAGGGGATTTCCCGAGAGCCGTCAGGGAGGGGGCAGAGGAAATGAGGTAGGGGATCCTTCCTGTTGCCGGGGTAAAGGCTAGAGAGAATCAGAAAAGCGGACCCGGGGACCAAAAGCTAAAATGCGAGCCACCCCTCCAACCCCCTGTGGTTTCGGGGCTTTTTGTTCAGCTGGTCTGCAGCAGGCTCTGTGAGGCCGATGAAAGAGCGAATGAGGGAAGTGGCTGGTGGAGATATGCGTGGGCAGGTGTAGTGTGACTAATGTGTGATCAATGATTTCTCTTTTTCTTTCTTTTTTTTTTTTTCCTCTCAAGACCAGTCACAGGGAAAGAGTGGACGGGGGATTTGTTAGGGGCTGTGTGTTGGGGGGGGTCTTATTAAAACCAGGGCTTTCCCTTATTCATGTGCCCAAACTGAGGCTGAGGGTGGCTCAGAGGAAGAGGACCGAATAAAAGAGCAGGAGAGAGATTAAAGGAAGTGAATAAAGCAGGGGAGATTTTGGGTTTACATTTTCTACAGAAACCACAGGCCTTGATTGGCCACTGATTTTTTTATTTTATTTTTTTTTTCCGCTTTCACCTTTTTAGATAACATCACCCTGGCAACAGCTGTGTTTTACAATGAATGTGGTTCTTCCACTTTGTGGCTGTCAGGGCTGTGGTCCTTCCTTTTACTTCCATTTTTGTTCCGAACACCGCTAATCACATAAAGCACATTCATATCCGTCTGTTAAGAATCTCATATTCTTAAAGGCTCTTTCGGCAGTGAGGGATTACATAGAAAGTACTTTTCTATTCAAGTATCAGCAAGATGTATAGTTTCACTTTACTTTTTTGTTTGCAGCCTGGAATTGATTGAACGGACTTTAAAACTTTTTTTTTTTGTTCCGAAAGTTGCATTGTAGCACAAATGAAACCTAGACTACCTTCCAGAGAAGACAGAAATGATCTTTAGCAGTAAATGTATTTCCAATAAGCTATTAAGCAGCATTTTGACATTGTGAATTCAAGGGCAGGTTTTTATTATTTGTGTAAATATGTAGTATAAGAAGCTGAAAACAGACAGTGCCACATTTGTTTAAGGAGATTACTCCTAGCAGTGTCCTTGCTGCTGTGAGTAAGTGCACACTAGTCACTATAGGGGTGTTTATGCAAGCCGGCGCTGTGCGTGCAAGTGTATGTGTGCGCTTTTTTTTTCTTTTTTTTTTTTTTTTCCTGGGCGAGCAGGCATGCTGTGCTCCCAGACAGCTCTGTGTGCTCATTAATAAACCAACAGAGGGTGAGAGATGGCCTTGCAATACCTTCCTATCCTCCCTTTTCCACTCAGCTCGGCTCACTCTGCCTCTCTCTTTTCCTCTCCTCCTGCTCCAGGAGTAGCTGCTGCTGCTGCTGCTGCTGCTGCTGCTGCTTCCCTTCCCCCCGGCCAGCTGAAGGACAGAGCGCACCCGCCGAACCCCTTCTCAGGTGACCGTGGCCTCAAGGAGCCCAGGAGGGGCCCCCCCTCTCCGGCCCCGGAGCCGTCCGCGGGAGGCACCCCTCCCCTCAAGCCCCGTCGCCATAGTGACACGGACAAGCCCAAGGGCAAGCGGCCGTGCAAGACCAAACACACCAGCCAGAGGGAGCGAGAGCGGGAGAAAAGGAAGGAGGCCACACCTAGCAGCCCGGGCCAGCGCTGCGTGGCCGATCTGGGAACAGCTGAAGATGACAAGGTGAGCGCTGATAGGGTGTCTGGCTGCGATACAGGCGTCTGGATGTTTGCAGCAGCGGAGTCTGTTTCAGTATGCCTGTCGGCGCCTCTGATTATGCAGCTGGGGAAGGGAGGGAGGGACAGAGGAAGGAAGTATGTTTACAATGTTTAGAGGGCTGCTGGAGCTTTGACCTCCCCGTGCCCTTAGCGACTCCCTGCGGAGGCCCTGCGTGCATGTGTGTTTGTCTCCGGCCTTAATTGTCGAACGTGTGTCATCTGCGCTGTTTTTGTGTAGGTGAGTGCCAGGGGCGTGAGTGTCTGCGTGCTTTGTGAGCATTCCTGACAACAAAACCCCGGAGCAATTACACGTCGGTCCCGAACACGAGGCTGCACACACACACACACACACACACACACACACACTGCCGCTGCACAGTGAGGAATGTGGCAGCTATGGTTGAGCATACGAAGCGCCCGAGTTCAAAAGAGGGAGGAAAAAAATGAGCATGGGGAAAAATTGAAGGGGGGGAAGAGAGAGAGAGAGAGAGAGAGAAAAAAGAAGGCTAGTCGTTTTCCGCCCGTGCTGCTCTCCTCCCCTGCTCCTCCTCAGCCTGACAGCTGCTTCGACATCGAATTCCACTGAGAGGGCACGCACTCTTCGCACAAACACACACACACACACACACACACACACACACACACAGTGCACGCAGGCAGGCAGGGAAGCAGGCAACTCCCTCTCTCGTGTGTTGCGCTCCGAGGGCTCTGTTGGTTTAGCGGTTAAAGAAAAGTGGCGTGCCAACCTGCAGTGTTTGGGGCGTGAACTCTTGGTGTGAAAAGCTGTGTGTGTGCGTGTGTGTGTTTTTGCTGTGATGCATCGTGTGTCTTCCAAACACAATAATCATACGTAAACACAGATGTTATAAATGAAATATCCATCTATATATATATCGGTAGTCTGCTAAAGAGGTGCTTTAAAAAAAGTCATGCCAGGATTAGATGGCGAATAGGAAGCTAGAAAACGTGAAGATATGATTCGTCTTGGTGGAATATTTTGTTCATATGGTAAGAGCAAGTGTCCAGCTGAGTTATATGGGCAGACAGGAGTTTAAAACCACACTTAAATCTTCTAGGGAAGTTTGTCAAAGGGAAAGGGGTCAGTCTCATGGTTTTGTATAAATCTTTCACCAGCGAGGCGCTTTCAAGGCCTCCACAGAATTATCTATGTTGGCCTTTCAGAGATACGGAGTCAGAATCAGTTTATTGCCAAGTAGGTTTTCACATACAAGGAATTTAATGTGCTGCAGAATTTTTGTTTAAAGAGGGATGCAATAGATTTAAGACAAAAGCAGGTGTTGCAAGTTAGTAAGATAAGATAAACTTTATTGATCCCTCATTGGGGAACGGAAATTGTCACAGCAGCTGGATACAAATGAAGCATAGGTATTATTTTTTTGTTGCACATGTCAGATCAGTGTGAAAAAAGAACACAAAATATAAGTAAGACGCCAGAAACACAACAAGAAAGTTGGAGCCGCTGTAACTTCCTGCCACTTGCACGGTGCATATGCACTGCAAGAGATAGCATTACAAGTCAAATGAATAGCACCTGAGGTAAATCCAGGACGTTTCAAATGATAAAAAGTCACAGAAATGTTTGTGCAGGATTGTGCGAAGCGCAGATTATTCACCTGTACAAATTGGCATAGCATATGGTGTAAGGCCTCTTTAGCGGGTGAAAGACAAACCTTCGCATGACAGAGCACACAGATAATGTATGATATATGCAGAACTAAGAACATGCCTACTATCAGCACTAGAATGTAGAATTTCCATCATATACTAAAGAGGTAGTTTAGAAAAGTAATGTAAGGATAAGACGGGAAGATGTTTTGGAGAGGGTGCACATCAAGGTTAAACAATGGAAAATATGATGAATCTTTATGGATTTTATTATGATTTGTTGTCTTGTGGTGAACAATAGGTGATTGTTACGTTTAAGTTTTTAATTGCAACGCCATTCTTTGTCAAGGAAAGAAATGTGCATGTTGCTGTGTGCCTGCATGTATGCGCCACTGGGCCTCCTCCTTTGTGTGTGCAAATTTGCGTAGTGTCATCCATGTGCCCTTGAGTGTTCGTATGTACGCGAGTGTCCCGTCTGCTTCATGGCAGCGGCTGTAACACTCTCTCCCTATCTCCCACTCTCTCCTCAGCTGAGTGAGCAGCGCGGCGCTCCGAGGAAGAGAGCCGCCTCTCCTAATCATTATCCCTGCTCTCCAGTCAAGCCTTGCTCCCCCACCGCGCTCTGTCCGCCCTCCCTGCAGCCCCAGGCGAACGGCAGAGCGCCGGGCGCTGCTCCACCGGAGGCGGCGGCGGCGGCGGCGTTGGCAGCGGCTGGCCTGCACCGGACCCCCCCTGCTGAGCCCTCCGTGGTGCGTCCGATCCCGCCGGAGGCTCGCCGGCTGATCGTGAACAAGAACGCTGGGGAGACTCTGCTCCAGAGAGCTGCGCGGCTGGGCTACGAGGTAATAGGCTGCGCTCCGAGTCAATCCTCCCTCCTTATCTCTTTTCTCCGTTCGCATTTTACACTCTTACACTTCGCCTCTTTTCCAAATCTTCACTCTCTCTCTTCTTAAATTGAGCTCATTTTCTCCCCCTCCGACTTTGTTCCTGTCTCTGACTCTGGCTTTCAGAATTCTTCAGATTCCTCCAAATGCATCTTCCTCTTTTTTAGCTCCTTCTTTTTGTATCATTTCCCTTCTATTTCTTCTTCACATGCTCCATCTATGTATGTATGTATGTATGTATATATATATTTTTATTTTTTGCTCCTCTTGCCTCGCTCCTCTCTCTTTCTCTCTCTCAGGTTTCCGCTCTCTCCCTCCCCCCTCTTTCCTCTCAGCGCTCTCTTTCTCTTCCTCTCTTTGTGACTCAGATTGTCGTTGGCACCCCTCCTCCTCCTCCTCCTCTTCATCCTCCTCCTCCTCCTCCTCCCTGCACATGCACACACACTCTGCTGCCTCCCCTCCTCTCGCCTCGCTCCGCTCTCACATCTCATTAATTTTCCGTGAGGCGAAGTGTGACACACAGACACACACACACACACGCACACACAACGCGCACACGGGCGCGCACAGGCAGCATGAGGGATCGGTGGGATCATTATACGGAGACTGATGCTCGCTGCCTCTCTCTAGCATCGGGAGTTTTTTTTCTTTTTCTTTCCTTCTTTGTGTGTAGCTGCCGATCATTCGCTCCCTAAACCAGAACCTCTCTCCTTTCTCTGCACATACAAGAAGCAGTTGTGTATTTTCCACCGAAAATCTCTCAACTCCCATCGCTCTGAAAGCTTTTTAATTAAAGTTGGATGGCCCGCTGTCTCCTTCCTACCGATCCCCCTCGTGTTTCTGTTCTCCCTTTCCTTCCGTCTTTGTTGACAGATTTTGCAAATTGATTTATTGATCCGAGTGGTTTTAATGTCACTTGCATGCGTCCACGTTGATCTTTTTTTTTTTTTTTAAATCATCAGCTGAGGCATCTTCACACAATATCTTTTGTTGCTCATTCATGAGTTGCTTTACGGTGGTGTGTGTGTGTGTGTTTGTTGGACACATTTATGATGATGAGGTGTGTGTCAGTGATTATGTGTGTGTGTGAATGGGAGAGTGTGAATGAGAGGTAAGCGCTGGGAGTATAATCGCGTTCTAATGGCCCTCTAATGTGCCGTGGTGACTGTGGTTAGCAGCGGCGGCGGCTGTTTTTCTCCCTGGCTCTCTCCTCTCGCACACACACAGGGTTGCAGCGCAGCAGCAGGGTTCAGTCAGCCGTGCTGGAGAGAAGCTGGCTCGTCTCTCTGATTTATGCGTCTCTCTCGAACGTTTTTTTTCCCTCCCTCTCCGCTGCTTTTTTTTTTTTTTTTTTTTTTAATGCATTCCCCCCTTCACATTTTTCCCTTCCTGCGCTCGGCGTGTGGAGAAGGGAAAGAAGGGGGAGGGAGGGAGGAGAAAACCTGAGACTACACAAACAAGGCGCTGACCGCTGCGCAAACAACACCCCCGCCTCCCCCCCCTTGCCTCCCTCTCTCTCTCTCTCTCTCTCTCTCTCTCTCCCCCCTCTCTCTCTCTCTCTCTCTCTCTCAGGAAGCTCGTCTCTCACTGCCTGTGTGTGATAAGCCTGGGGCAGGCCCCTGGGGCTCCCACACACACATAAACACACGCGTACACACACACACACAAGGACGTGCACGGAGACACACACACACACACACACACCAATTTATGCATACCGCCTCACACACACACACACACACACACAGACACACACACTTGCATACAAGCCTGTAGATGCACAGAGCGCTTGTCTCACGCTGGTGTTTTAGCGCCGCAAGCTCTGGGCTTATCACACACAGGCAGAGAGATATGAGGGTCTGCGAGACAGAGGCGCACACACCAACACGGCTCACATGCTGATTATGAGCGCGCAACCAAATACGCACAGAAAAGAGAGAGAGAGAGAAAAAAAACACCCATTCTGACCCAATAAGCACACGCACAAGGCATCCTGACGCGCTCCTCTCCATATGCTGCACAGAGAGACGGCTCTTCACACACCCACACAAACCTGCACATGCAAATTCAGGATCGCCTCATGCACACTTTGCAGGCGTCCTTCTTTTTTTTTTTTTTTTATTTCTTTTTTTTTTTTTTGCAGGATGCAGAATCACCTCAAGCACACATGCATGTAATTTAGCACACATGCACCCCGTCTCTGCGCTGTTAACGATGCCCGGCCGACACTGTGCATATTTCATGTTCATTTAGTTTTGCAATCCGTGCCTCTGCACATGAAAGCCCACTCTCTCTCTCGCTCGCTCGCTCGCTCTCCCTCTTCCTCCCTCCCTCACTCCCCTTTTATTCTCTCGCTCTCCCTCGTCTGCCTCACTCTCCGAGCATTTGAAATGGTAATGAGGAGAGATTCTGCGGATGTCTTCATCCCTCTCCCTCTCGTGCCGGGGCTCGGGGCCCCTCAGCTCTGCCCATTGAAAGCTCAGATAAAGGTGCAATCTGTCATTTATTCTCCTCCCATGAATCGCTTCTGATTTTTTTTTTTTGCTCCGCAAAATCCATGTATGATCTAAGCAAATAGAAAAAAACTGGGCCGCGTTTTAAGTGCCCAGTCGGACTAGCATCTGTGGTGGCAAAACTTGGAGCTGAAAGCGCTGTGATCAGTGGAGTTTCTGGTGGAGGTAACGTGAATCCACACTGACTTTAAAGTTCAACATTGGTGAACTTTGACTCACAGATTTTCACCTTTGACCGATGGCAGACAGACTCGACAGCGCAGACCTTTGAGGGAACTACACACCTATAGACAGTCCAAAATAGAGGTGGCTATCACAGGAGCGCCCCAAGAGTTTCATCCATAGTGCTTTTCTCAGCTACTGTTTTCACACAATTCACCATGTGATCTTAGAAAAACTTTGGACAATGGCGATACCATACATTTCCTTGAGTAACCCATTTTAAATTAAAGCTGGAGTAGGTAAAAATTTAGACAACATAAAATAAAATCTTTTTCCTCTTGTTTCTCTGCTCTGTGCGAGAGTCCAGCGGATTTTACATTTTTGGCAACAACACTGATTTTTTTCTTCCTTTTTAGAGCATTAAAAAATTAAAATATTGATATATTGGCCATTCCTTTTATACATAAACGTATATGTTAGCATAATATTAGGAAGGCGAAAAGATGATTTAACTTGTGTGTTTAACAAACGAGTTAGCAGCTTACCATAAAACACCGCTTGACTTCATGAACCATCTGTGATGTGACTCTGCTACATGTGCTGCAGACAGTGCTAGGAGTGCTGTAAAGAACAGAGTCAGAGCACCTCTGCTGGACAGTTGTATGGTGACACCAAGCTACTCTAAGTGTCTTTTTCTGCATTATGTTTAGACATCATAAATGTATGGGACAATAATATTGGCCACGTTAAATTTCGGTCCAGCTCTACTCTAATCCCCTCCCACCAGACGAACACATACCTCAAACATGGAAAGATAGTCAAGCCAAAAGCCAACATTCTTCGTGGCTTCATGTTGGATTTTAAGTCCTCCATCTAACCAATTGCGCCACCTTGTTATATTAGCTCATCTATGATTGGCTAAAAGCTCCTGTCATGTGCTACGTTTTCTAACACCTGAAAGTTGAGCAAAAAGAAGCCGGAGAAGTGCATTTTCGTCTCCGGTTGCAGTATGTTAAAAGGTTAATTTGGATTTTTGACCAATGATGCCAAAAAAAGCCCCGATACACTGCTTACTGGAGCTTTAGTGTTTAGTTAGCGCTTGATGTAGTAAGCATTCTAACTGATAAGTAGCAAACCATCCTGTTTGGTTGTAGCTGACTGGTACGATCACCATGTTGCATATATTAGCAGTTAGTTCGCTAACTACATGGCTGCCCATCCAGCCCCATGAGAAGCCACAACATCCAACTTTTACCAACTCATATCCACAAGGAACGTGACTGATTTTCTAAGTGAACTAAATGAGGGCCCATTGGAGCATTTGAATTGTGGCTGAGAACAGAGGCGTCGAATGTTATATATGAAAACAGGTGATTATTCCCTTTTTTGTCTTTAGTTTTAAACTGGCTAATGGCGTACGTGTGCCTCAGATTAATTAACTCTGTCTGAGATCCTCAGAGGCCACATTCCTGCGTTACCCCGGCACAGTCATTCAGCAGGCAGCCTCCTTCGCACATACACTCAATCATCCACACGTTGCACTTGTCTGAGCACGCAGCAACTTTACTGCTCAGGCTGTGGACTTCATCACGCAGGGGAAAATCACTCATGCATCATCTGCATGTGATAGGCGCTCATATGCGTACACGCACGCTTCTGCCGTGTGTGTG